ATAAAGGCCTAAGGAGGGGCCTGGGACACAAAAGTGAATAGGTGATTTGCCCCTAGTCACATAACTAGTAAGTATGGAGGGTGGAATTTGAACCCAGGTTGCTCTGACTTCAAGACAAGTACTCTTTAAAAATCATGCTAGATGTCTATAATAGTATTGATGTTAAACAGAGTTTTAGGGTTCGCCAAGGGTTTTGTGTGCATTTTCTCATTTGATTCTCAAAATAACCCAGTGAGATGGGTGCTGTTAGTACTCTTATTTTATGGATGATACCCCCAGAGAGTTTTAGTGAGTGGTTCCGAGCTACACACAGCTGGGATCGGCAGGAGGGCAGATACAAAGCCAGGTGTCTCCTGACTCTCCAACACTTTTTGGGGTGATGTTGAATAGAATGTTGGACATCCAGTGAGGTAGGTATGGGTTCAGATCCCATCTCTGACGATTATTAACTGTGTGATCATGGACAAAATCAATGAAGCATTCTGAGACACTGTCCTTGTCTATAAAATTGTGATGATAATAACTATCTCAGTTCAGGTCTGGCACACCTGCACCACATTGTCTCTATATTGCTGTCCGTGACTAATCTGCCAAAATGTGAGGACTCCTTTACTTCATGCCCCTTTAGCACTGATGAGCATCATTGAGGGTAACTGATGGGCCTCACACCTGTCAGTGAGTTAGGGGAATGTGTACCCCAAGCATGTGAAGTCTTCCCCCATTGGAATGGGAGGATGAGAACAGTTTGTTCTGAGGGGCCATGAAGGAGGCTAAAGCAGGCACTGTGGAGCACCTGGAGCTTGGTCAGACATCGAAGATGTCAAGGTCATTCACTGCATTCCAAGCCATTACCAATCATCTTGATTTTTGTCCTGCCACTGGCCTTTGATGACTTTGGAAGAGAGAGTGAGGCTGATGACTTTGTGTAACTCAGCTTCACTCAAATCCAATTCAGATGCAAGTGAAAACATCACCCTGTGATGTCACTGGTCACGGACCACCACCACCACCACTAACACCATCAACAACATTGTTACCCAAATGAGTCATTGTTCTTTATTTACTTCAGATCTTTTTTTAATTTACTTTTTTTACTTTACTCCCTGTCACTCCATATTTATACAAAGTATCCCAAAAATCTTAATACAACTTTAAGCTATTGAAGCTTGATCAGTTGAAATTAAAGCTTAAAGAGCTTAAAACTGCATTAAGACTTTAGAGTTACTCTGTATTTTGGGCTCTTTCAGATCAGGGACACTGCTTTTGCTCTATGTGTATGTTAGCACTTGGTGCAAGGTCTGATAGTGAAAAAGATGCTTAACTTAGATTGCTGACCTTGGAATTGTCCTTAGTATGTGACCTTGGGCAAATCCTTTTACTTCCCTAAGTGTTAATTTCCTCATTTCTAAAATAAGGGGGTTGAATTTGATGGCCTGTAAGGTCCTATCCAACTCTATATCTAAAATCCTCTGACCCTGTAAGAACCTTATAAGTTGAAGGCTGAATGAATGTTATCCAGAGACATAGGAAGGAACAGAAAAGTGTCTAAGGTCAGGATTCTAAATAATGAGAAAACTCATCTGGTATGTGTTTCTGAGACCTGGTATTTGGAAATGCCAGGAGCTGGTGATTTGTATATTTACTCACCTGGAAATGACCTGGGAAAGATTTCCAGAGGAATGCAAAGCCAAGAAATATTTCCTCGAGCATTGGAAGCACCTGCCCTCCTTACCAGAAAGAGCAATGAATTCTTCTGCCAATAAGTCCCTTTTTCCCTAAGGCTCCAGAGGGAGTGGTAATCTGAGGTCTTACAGTTCAATGGTAAAACAATCTTTAAGATAGGGAGGGAGTTGATGACAGCAGGTGTCACTGTGTTGGATGTATCCAGCTGGCTGGTGCCAGATCCTTTTGGCTCTCTCTTGTTTGGCAGGGTGGTTTGGAATAGAATCTTTCCTCTGGTCACTGCCCTCTCTAATACCTTTTTTTTTGTTTGTATAGAATACAGAATCCAATTGAAATTTATTGCATTAAAAGGAAATAGAATATTAGTCATCAAGTATGATAAATACAATTAGAAAATAATTTTTAAATTTAATTTAAAATTAAATTAATTAAAATTAAAATTTAAAATAAAATGAAAGACATGTTGGCAAGCAATTATCCCTTTTTTCTGAATATTTATTACAAAAATTAGTTCAATTTTAAACATACAAGTAAAACAGCTTGCCCCCAAAGTCTTAATGCAGCTTTAATCTTTCATATATTGCCAAATACCCCTCTTAGATCCATGTGATTCCTTCCTCTGCTATTTCATGGTGTTTGTATGAGGTGAAAAGTTAGTAGTACAAACACAATAACCCAGAGATCCCAGTTAGGAAAATTCCTAAAATCCAAACAGAACTTTGGTTCATTACCCTAATTCAATTTTGTTGTGATTTCTCTCTAGCTAACTCTTGGTTTCTTTACATTTAAGGCAAAAATCGGGAAGAGACACAGGTAAAAGAAGTAAGCAAATGTGCTAAAATGTTGGCTACTTGGCAGGCACAGGGAAAGTAAATTGGGGGATGAAAGACCTTTTATTAGATCATTGCTCAGTCTAAGTTCTAATCTTTACAATCACAGAATTTGAACTAAAAATGCCCTTGGGAACCATCTCACCCAACTGCCTCCCCTCTATATTACAGATGAGGAAACTGAGACCCAGAGAAATTAAATGATTTACTTAAAGTCACACAGGTAGTAAACCCCAGAGTTATTCCCACTATACCAGATGTGCCCCATACCTTGTCGTCTAGTTCTGCCAAGATGAGCCCTGGTGACTCTTCCTCATTGGTCACTAGGGGGTACTGTGGTTCCACAGAAATTAATCATCCTCAGGCAGGAGCTGGTGATAAGGTATGAATGGAGAAAGGGAAAATGTAAAACCTTTAAAAATAAGATTGCTTACAGAATTCTTCACTTTCGTTGTGTTCCCTTCTTTCCTAAAGGCTTGCCCTATGTTGCATCTATATATTGAAAGGGAAGGCAGGGTTGTGGTTTTCCCTTCCCAAGTAGATAGTACACGTATTGACAGAAACAGTAATTATCACCAGACCTGTGAAGCTACTGGCGTCAGGGATGGAGAAGCGGAGAAACCCACAACCACAAGACTGCCTGACCCATGAATTCTCACCTAATTTATAAAAGGCTCTATAGAGTATAGGAAAGAAAAGAAGAGGAAATGAGCCTAGCCTGGTCAGAGAATACTTTGAATCTGGAGGAGTCAGTGAGAAAAGAGACATAACAGGTTCACTCCATCTGTTAGGAACTTGAGCCCCATATCATTTTAACTCTCAGCCTAAAGGACCAGAATTGGGGGCGGGGAGGAGAGTCCCATTCCTGCCCAACCCTGCTATGGCCCAAGGTTCTTGTTCTGTGCGGCCATTTGTCTCTTGGGAGCAGGCAAGCTGAGAGCAGAGGTGGGAGGTCTCTCTTCTGGCTACCTAACATCAGACTCCTTCCTGCAGTCTGTGTCCCAGATTTCTTCTTCATCTCTCAGAGGCCCCCTAGATGCTAGAGTAACTTAGAGCCTGTTATACCTGCGCTCAGATATAGGAAAGGTAGTGGCACTGAGATGTCATCTCCATCTTGGGATACTTTGGTTTGTTTTGGCCCCAGCAGGTACTAGGGCAGGGTCTCTAAATGCTGTTTTATTTTTACATTAAAGTATTCTGAAGCACAGGAGATATTGCTAATCCAATCATAGCTAAAGGGCCCAAGGTCTGTCAATTGAACTTCAGCATACCCTCCTGAGTATTTCTGTGCCAGTTGCAAGGCTGGAACACTCCAAATTCATTTCATTCTTAAAACAAACCTGTGATTTATTTTTATAATAGATGCTATTTTTTTTATCCCAGGGTCTTGACCAGGGTCAAGTAAATGACTGAAGCAGGATTCACATTCAGGTGTGCCTTATTCCAACTCTAACACTCTACCCAGTTTTTTTTCTCCATATGCTGAACTAACCATGCACTTTTTCAGCTTCTGAGAGACTAGCCAATGACTTAGGGGGATCCAGGCAACTAGGTGGTACCGTGGGTAGAGTGCTTGGCCTGGAGTCAAGAAGATTCAAATTGCTGAGTTCAAATCTGGCCTTACTAGCTGTGTGACCCTGGGCAAGTCACTTAACCCTAAATGTCTCAGTTTCTTCATCTGTAAAATGAACTGGAGAAGGAAATGGCAAACCATTCTGGCATCTTTACCAAGAAAACTCCAAATGACATCACAAAGAGTTGGATATGATTGAAAAATGACTGGGTGACCAGAAGGAGCCAAGACTAGATTCATCAATATGTGTTACAAACACAAATGAACACATTTATTGTATAACCTATATTTACTCTCCCTCCCCTCATATAAGGAGATACTTTGAAGATGTATGGGGTAGTGGATAGCGTGATACTAACATACCATTTTTTGTGTGTAATTTAATTATGTGAATGTATTTGTGTTGCATTTACAAAGCAGGGCACCAATAGGACAGAATTATTCATTTGCTTATCTGTGTACATGGTTTGTCCTCTTAATAGAATGTGTTAAAAGCAAGGGCTGTTTGAGTTCTGCCTTTGTATCTCTGGTGTCTAGTATAGTGCTTTGTACTCAGTGACCACTCAATGCACACTCTCTGAGTTGTATTAAGAGCACTACAGACATTTTAAAAAATAAAGTGAAAATCAAAATACTTAAGACCCTTGATTAAATTTGCTTCTTATCCCTGGAATGGAGATGGGAAAGAGGAGTGGAGGGAAAATAGTAACCTTCTGCACTATTTGTTAAATGACAATACAGAAACTAGGAAAAAGGAGTAGAAAGGTACTTAAGATAATAGGACCATAAATCTGGAATGGACCTCAGAGGCCTTCTACAACAAGCATTTGTTATTTTGAGAAGGGGCCCATAGGCTTCACTAGACCATCAAAGGGGTTAAGATTCCCCTAGCCCAGATGATGATTAAACACCACCCTGCTCACACATGTAGGTAGGGCTGACTCATTCTTTTAGAGGACTCAACTCTCTCCTAGAGAAGCTTCTGAATGAGGAAGTGGAATCCACATAGGCAAGTTATGAACCATCCGTACCAACGAGGGCCCCAAACTGAGCGATACTTCAGTTCTGTTTTTGGGATGGCCGTGAATACCAGGCTCCTCTGCTCTGTCTCCATTTGTCTGCTAGGAGCTGGTGAGTGTCAGATACACATGCAAATGCTATCCTGTGCTTGCCAGCCTACCCCCTCCCAAGCTTTTTCTTATGGTAGCAATGACATCTTCCAGGTCAGGTTTTGATTCATGTTTTCATTCTTTTTTCCCTCACAGGCCTCTTGGATGCTGGAGTCATCCAGACTCCAACACATCTAATTATGGAGAAAGGGCAGAATGCGGTGTTTAGATGTAATCCAATTAAAGGACACTCCTATGTTTTTTGGTACAGGCAGTTCCTGGGTGAAGACCTTAAATTCTTGATTTACTTTCAGAACGATCAAAAGGTAGATGAGTCAGGGATGCCCAAGTCTCGATTTTTGGCTAAACATGTGGAAGACTTAATCTTCAAGATAGAAATACAACCTACAGAGCTCGTGGACTCAGCTGTGTATTTCTGTGCCAGCAGTGAATCCACAGTGAAGCAGAAACACCTCCTCCCTGAGCTAAAACCTCCCATGGTTCCACACAGGAAACATCAGGGGTGGGAAAAGAAGACTGAGGGTAATTCAGGCACTGGGTGCAGAGACCAACCTCAAGCTGTGTGGTACCTGGGCAGGGTAAGAGTGGGTAGAGGTCCCACAATTCAGCACATTGTCATACTTAATAGTATCTTTTTGGTTTGGACCCATGATTTTGTTGGTATAGGGAACTTCCAGTAACGAAGTTCCCTTCACCAATGCAGACTGTCTATTTTTCTGCAATTTACTGTCATCAAGAGACATACAGGGGCACCGATAGTTGTCATGTGAGTTGTACAGGATCACTCAGCCAATAGGTAACAGAGGTGGGATTTGAACCCAGGTTCACCTGACTCCCAGCCAGTTTCTATCCAGAACTCCATGTTTTTTCAAAGTATTTTTTTATATGGAGTTAAATATGAGTTGTACAATAAATACTTGGTTATTTATATATGTGAATATATATTATATATATATATATATATATATATATATCTGGATCTTCTATGGATCTTTCTATGATCTTCTAAGTCACCAGTTGAGGGAGAGAGGCTGGTCAGTGTGACATCTGGGAAAAGACTCTACATGGAGGGTGGGGCTTGGAGTCAGGCAATCTCATTTCAAATCCTGCCTCAGACATTTACTTGCTGTGTGACCCTGGGCAAATAAATCATTTACCCCCTCTAGGCCTCATTGTGCTCCTCTGTAAAGTGGGAGTAAGGATAGCCTTACCTCACAAAATCGTTGGGAAGATTAAATGAATTAACATGTAAATTAATGTGCAAAGAATTGTAGATTTTGTGCTAGAAGGGAAATTAAAGGTCCTATAACCCAACCTCTTCACTCCATTGATGAAACAAAAATAAAACTTACGCCCAGGGAGCAGAGACTTACCCAAGATCACCCAAGTAAATTTGTATGGTAGTCATTTCACTTCAAATCTACCACTCTTTTCACTGGACCACCCTGCCCCTGAAAGTCCTACCACTACATTACACAGATGAGAAAACCAAGACACAGAACTGTGTCTAGAGTCACAGCAGGTAATAAATAGTAGAACTGGAAGCCAAAGCTGATTCCAAATCCAGCTCTTTTTCCACTATTTGCATGTTGAGTCACATTTTTTCCTCCATGCTTTGTGCTCAGTTTCAGTCTCAATATTAAAACATGCAATGCAGAGGCAAATGGGATTATAAACCCACTATGCTCTGCTCTAGTCAGATTGCATCTAGACTATTTTTTCAGATTCTGGGCCTCACATTTAAGGAAGAAAATTGACAAGTTGGGGCACATCCAAATGAAGATGAATAGTATGCGGGCAGAACCCAAAACTATGCCGTAGAAAAGACTGATATTTAGCCTGAAGAAGAGGTTTGGGGAGTAAGCAAGAGCTGTCTTCGGAGATGTGAATGATTATCATTCAGAAGAGATTAAATTTGTTTGCTTGGCCCTAGAGAACAGAAACATAGAAAAGCTAGAAAGATGCAAATTTTGACTCACTGTAACTGAAAAAAGCCTTAACAATAACAGCAAACATTTATATAATGCTCTAAGATTTACAAAACACTTCACAAATATCTCATTTGAACCTCACAACAACTTTGGGAGGTAGGGCTGATTATTTCCTCGTTTTCTAGGTAAGGAAACTGAGACAGAGGGTAGATGACTTGACCAGGGTCATAAAATTAGTACATGTCTGACATGGGATTTGAGTTCAAGTTCACCACTCCATCTAGAGTGCTACCTGGCTTCCAGCCCAAAAAATAGAAAAGGTAGTCTTGGGAGAGAGTGAGTTCCTCATCTATGTAGGATTTTAAACTGAACCTAGAAGACCATAGAATCTGAGAATCATAGTGGGAAATTGATTTCTTCATGCTAAGCAGAGAGGAAGAAAAAGTACATATATGTGACCTGTGTAAACACTAAGATCATCCCTTCTCTGGCTATGTATCTGTCTTGGCCACAGGGTAAAGTCCCATATGAAACACAAGTGTCTTTACAATGACTGGAAATAGTGACATCACATATTGGCACCGCCTAGGGGTGGGTACCTCTCCCACCAAGAACCCCAGGTTGACTCTTACCCTCGCATACCTTAGAGATCAAAGCCTAGTGATGATGAGACATCCTATTCCTACCCCAGTCATGAGCACCAATTTCCACTCCTGCATGGCCATTTTTCTCCTGGGGATAGGTGAGTTCTGGGCATGTGAAAAGAATTTGTCAGGTTAGCTTCTGGATTTTTCTGCAGTGGTGGCAGGTAGCACCAAATTCATTCCCAAGTTCTGTCTCCCACCTTCTCTCTTCTTTCTTTCCAGGTTCTATGGACCCCAAAACTCTTAATCAAAGAGAAGGGAGAGAAGGCTACCCTGAGATGTAAACAGAATTTGAATTATGACCATATGTACTGGTATCGGCAGGATGACAAGGAAGGATTCCAGGCCATGTTTTATTTGAATAATGAAGAGCTCCTTGGGAACTTTACTAACTCCAATCATTTCACATTTAAACGTCTGGGCAAGGCCCAACTGAACCTTCAGATTGAACCTCTGCAAGCCCACGGACACAGCTGTCTACTTCTGTGCCAGCAGTTCTATCACAGTGCTCCAAAGTCACACTTTCTCTGTTTACAAACTTCCCCCAGCCACACCACAGGAAGAGCGGGAGATGAGGGGGGCCAACAGTCATTCCTTGTGAGTCAGGGGTGGGATGGGGAAAGGAGGTCATCTCAGGTGGACCATTGTCATTCTCAGCTTTGCAGAAGCTCATGAACCCACTTTTATCAGATCTCCCAGAAAGTAATTAGGTGCCATGGAAGGCACTCACACTAGACAAATTCACAAGGGACTGATTTATAAGGTCTGCTATTAGTTTGTTCACTAACAGTAGGAATTACAACCGCTGACATGAATGGGATCCTGTCACTGGTTTCTGGGCAAGAGGACCTGTGTTTTGAGTCTTGGCTCAATGTACTTGTGTGGCCTTGGGAAAATCACTTCTCTCTCAGCTTCAATTTCCACATCTGTAAAATGGGGAAGGTTGGCGAGATGAACTTGAAAGGTCCTCTTACTCTGCATAGATAACTGTGCATATATAATTAAAAACAAACAAAACTTTTCCTTTATTCTGACCTCCCTTCAAGTTTGTATTTTAAATCTCTTTTCCTACTCACTTTTCAACTTTTAGAAACTAGTCACCTCAGTTTCCTCATCTGTAAAATGAATTGGAGAAGGAAATGGCAGGCCACTCTAGTATCTTTGCCAAGAAAATTGCAAATGAGGTCACCAAAAGTGGGACGTAACTGAAAGGACTGAACAACAACAGCCACCATATTCCCTGCACCTCCTTCCTACTTCCTTACTATCTATTCAGTCCATGAACCACAGCAACCTGGCTTCCAACCAGGTGTGTGCTGTGTAGGAAAACATGATTTGTTATATTGTTTGGGAAAAATCACATTGTCTAAATCCAACTGCATGCAATTAAAGGTTGTCCACACACAGAATGTCTCTTGACTCCAGTAACTCTCTAGGGATACTGGAGATGACTACAGGGTATTTTGGGTTCCCCCAGGTTCTGGATCCACCCAAATCATTCTTGTTTCGGCAAACCCAGGACTTTCGATGATACACTCAAGCTTGTGTTTTGGTCACATTACCCTTTCGGTAAAATTGCTTTAGTGTGTATATGTGGTACATTTTTGGATACTCTTGTCTAAATCATATGTAATGTAAACCTTCCAGAGCCCGGATGAGAGGAAACCTCCCCGCTTTTCTGGCCTGCTCTCCTCTAACAAATGACCTAATGAGGTTTTTTTTCCTAAAACTTTCAGATTTTGAAGTATGTTCTAGCAAACGACTGGTAAATGTTTAATAATTAACTCCCTGGGGAGAAACGTATGCACCCACACACTTATAAATTTAATCTTCATTATTAACATTTTCTCCATCACTTGCTCAAATCTAGACTGTCAATAAAACCATAAATCCAGTCTGATTGGTAGTGTTTGCCAGATTCTAAGGTTTAAAAGCTCACATTGAAAATTTAACAATAAGTTTTTTCTAGCTGCCCGGCCAGCTCCAGCACACTCTTGCTTCTGACCCAACAATTTTCTGGAAAGCTCATTCTTCAAGATAACCAGTGATCTCAAATCTCAATCTCTTCCACTTTGACTTTTTTATAGCATTTGACATGGCTATTGAGTTCTCCAACTGCTGTCCTCCCTTGACTGCTGTGACACCATAGTCTTCTGATCCACCTTTGTCTGAATGTTTTCTTCTCAATGTCTTTCAATGATAGCTCAAATCTCTTTCCTTTTCTCTCTTCACCTTGTTCCTTAGTGATTTCAAACACTCTAAAGTCTGACTGAGTCAAGACTACGGGGTCCTTAGGCACCTTTATGAAGGTGACTATAAATCTCTATTTCGACCCCATCTTGCCCCTAAGCTCCAGTGCTGCATTGCCAATAGCCTGCTAGGCATCTCCATCTGAATGTGTTACTCTGGTACAGAAGTTGTTGGTAGAGGCAAAGAGTGTCCTGAGATTTCTTGGAATTCTCTGAACTTCCTTTCCCATAGAAACTGTGAGGCAACCTTCAACTTGGTGATGCCATCTAGCTCAGACTGACTGTACATGAGTATTTCCAGTATAGGTGATTTGAAAGAGAATATGAGAGATTCCACAGGGCTGGAGGGACATGGATTGCTGACAGCCATATTGTCACAGGGAAAGATGTAGGCGATGCAAACTTGGCCCAGACGACCTGAAACTCTGGCTCTCAGAGGTCAATGGTTGTTAGCTGCTGCTCCAAGATTGAAAAGGAAGTGATTAAGCAGAGTTTGCTACAGACATTCATCTCTAATATCCTTCAATGAGTAATCAATGTCCTTTTCTGATTGAAGCAGTTATATGGCACAGTAGATAGAGCACCTGAACTGGAGTCAGGAAGACCCAAGTTCAAATCCCATCTCAGGCACCTACTGGCTATGTGATCTTGGGCAAGTCACTTAACGTCTCTCTCTCTCAGTTTCGTTAAGTGTAAAATGGGTATTATACTAGCACCTACCTACCAGGGTTGTTGTGAGGATCAAATAGATAATAAAGGGCTTAGCACAGAGCCTAGTATGTACTAGGCACTTAATAAATACTTGTTCTTTCTCCCTCTTTCCCCTATTTGAAAAATCCAATCCAATAAACATTTA